TTTGAATGAGTTCGGTGAATTTGTTGATTGGCCGAGTGCAAAGAACTTTGATGTCTTCAACAATCATCGTCGCTGAAAGAAAGTTCATTGCATTTCAAACCGTCAAAGGTCATTTGATGATAACTTTCATGATTCTTCTATTTTTCGTGAACAAAATAAATCATTATTCCTTGTCAACAAATGTCAGTCACTTAGTTGTAATTTGTTGAATTTTCCCATTCTAATTTCTCGCATCGATTCATGTTCTCACTTGATCGCCTGTCATGCTTGAATAATGTCCAATTGTTAGTAACAGCAATGATAATAACATTAGTGATGCCTCTCATGAACAGCCAGCACTAATAAATAGCTATAACAATGGTGGTAGGCTAGTGAACATAACCTGCGCAGTTAGGCGTAAAAACGATCAAAAATAACGATTATATGTATGGCAGTGAGGTGTAAAATATTTTGCTATTGTTGTATTGAGCAATGATGAATGTTGTTTTGTCGTGGAATTGAACTGTCAAACGTGGAACTCATCCGCACAACTTTTATTGACAGTCGTGTTATTCGAAAAACTTCTCGATGATACTCACCGGTAGTTTCCAATTTCGTAAAACAATATGCGTTCGATAAGTATTATATTTATCCCAATTACATTGAATTTTTACTGTGGAATGTTGTATATCAGACTTGGCCTCTGGCTTACTAAACCGATTTTTTGCACCGATGGAAACTTCGAGCAAAAAGAAAACCCGTTCTAGAATCAGGAATCCAACGAGCCTTGCTAACAGATGTAATTCAACCATTGTCTGCAAATAGCAGGCATGGTCGGTAAGTGCCATTCACTGCCGAAATGACATACAAGTGTTAATATTCGAACAGGGATAAGTAAACTGATGAACATTTAGTATACATGGCATCTCGAGGGAAATTATCGTCCAATCTTCAATTTTGTTAAACGTAAGTTCCCAATGATTCGCAATCGTTCCGAAACGCTCACCGTAATTAGAGTAATCAAACGATGATGATAATAGATTAATTTTTGTTGTTAACGAATAGTGTAGAGGAATTGAGTTGACAACAGACGAGTGTACTGCTACCGAATGCGATGTATAATCATTTATCAAATACGAATTTTTTTGATCATTGCTACTCTGAAATTGTATTCCCTCTACTCATTACAGTTATACATCGATGTACGTCGTTTTGCGTAAGTCGTTCTCTGATCGTGAGTTACGTCGATTCTATCTCAAAAAGATTTTTTGTTGATTCAGAAGCATTGTTCGGGATTGAACGAGTTTAAGATGTTAAATACCATCTTATTCATTGTCTGTTAAAAGGCATCAATCACAGTAATAAGCAAAAAATGCTAAAGGACCGTTTAAACGCAAAAAATCGCCTCTTACAATTAGATGATGCAAAAGCAGTAAAGCAGTAAAACGAAATGCG